AAAAAAATTAACAACAGCTGTGAAATGGAATAGTCCAAATCACCTTGCAACCTGCTTGTTGGAGGGGTCTGAAGTTACTAAACATTTTGTGAGTGTATGCACTAAAACTTAGGACCATATAATAATAAATATGTGCGTGATGAAAGTTGGGCAGCACGCTAACATCCTTACTCCACTCTGTATGCTCGTATGGGTCTGACCCTTTCACCCTTTCCCATTTGATTTTTTTCCTCATACTTTTTTTTGCCTTTTCGTCAAGTCTGTCTTTGTATGGACCTGCCGTGTTCTCTGTCGTTTTGTAGATAACTGTTTTGGGGCCAAATAAAATGCAAGTAGGGATTAAAACCGCAGAATTAATGATTACCGGTGCTGGAAATACTAGCGCTTGATGCAGTGTTTTGATTTTGTTGCCACGGGTACCCACAAAGCAATGCGCGAAAGTCACGTGGTCTGTCAATCTCTATAGCAAGAAGAATCTTGAAGAAATGGAAATATGGTACATATATTGTTGTTGCTTACTGTTGCTGTGCTGCTTTCAGCTGCTGCACAGACTCGTCATAACCATAATTAACTTTCTTCTCGAGAAGTTTACGGTGGTTTTCCACAGACTCCATCTCTGCCGCCCATTCCTGTTCTTCTCGGGCCAGCTCCTATACAAACATACAACACGGCAACATGTTTATGAAAAACTACTGTGCATTTTCTTCTTAGGTTGTTGCCCAGGAGAAGAAAAAAATATTTCCTCCCTCTCCTAGGAGAAAGTGTCTTTTTTCCCACTATGAATGGGTTTATTAGTTTGAAGCGTTGATAGCTCTTTGGGAGTTACAAAGCTATATTTTATTAACGTGGGTATAATTTTGTTCAGTGGAAACTTTCACTGTTGTGTTGCAGAATACGGGACAATACCTGCTTTTCTCCCTCCAATCGTTCGTCTAGCTTGCGGATCTGCTCTCTCAGCTGCTTCAGATCATTGGTCTTATCCGTGATGCTAGAATTTACCTAACAGACAAAAATAACACAAATTATAAGTGCTGCCGTGCAAACAGGTTAATATGTGACTACTTCACAAATACCAGAAACAGATATGATACAGCACTATCATATTTTTGTTACCTGTTCACAAGACTCCTCCAAACTGAGTTTCTCGTTGGTTAATTGACTGTTCTCCTCCTCAACATCTCCAACCAACTTTCTTAGTTGCATCTGATCAGAACAATTACACAGAAACACCATCATGTTCAGCTACAACCTGAATATGGAAGTATATTTAATTAGTGGGAAGTAAGTTGTGTCTGGTGAATTTCTTAAGATTTGCTCTTGTAAAAAGCTGCGTAAACAGAATTTTAACTGGAGTCACCTGTATCTGTGTTTTACACTGAACCATGCTGCCGGCTCCGTATTCAAAAGGCCGGATCTCGAAATCGTGACCACAGGCGTTCTCTGCAGAAATCGGTATCAGCTTCAGTTTACGTGCCAGCTTTTGGTACTCTGCCAGCTTCAACTCTACCTGGAACACAGACGATTGGTGTTGATGGAAAAGAAAAG